AAAAAATAATCAACGTCTCCGGAAAGACTTGTTTTTCGAACACAACACCATTATATGATGTGAATAACATATATTTCTCACAGCATCGCGTTTCGAAGAAAATTCGTATACATTTAAAGAAGTCGAGGAAAATAAGAGTAATAGGGACCAAAACGAAAAAATAATCAACGTCTTCGGAAAAGCATGTTTTCGAACACAACACCATTATTTAATGTGAATCTATATATATATAATTACTAGCTCATGAGCATTTAATAAAACCTAATAAATTTTACCTAGGTGGCATTTTCCCGCCCAAACAAAATATTGCCTAAAAAAGGTATGTTAATTTCACTTCTCTCTTGGTTTCCCGCCCAAGAAATGCTCGACTCAAAAAGTTATGTTTTTGTTCTGACCAGTAACGTTAGTATAGTTATTATTTTTCAATTAATTACTAAAATGCTAAACTTAATGTCGCCTCAATTTTATTTTCAACCCTAAACCAGTTTTTGCTGAAGAAGGTATGTTACTGCACAAATCATTTACCCAATTATCATTTTTCAATTAATTAATAAATCTGACTGAAAATTTGGCATTGATATTATTTTTGTCTTTTTTTTAACTTTTCCATAAAAAAATGTATAAAGAAAAAGGAAAAAAATTATTTTACCAACAATTAATATTATTAAAACTATAAATCTCATATATAAGCAATATAAAAAAAAAAAAAAATTCCCAGCAATCCATCCATTTTTCCTGCAAAAGTTGAAAAAAGATTATCATTGATTTTTTAATAAAGCCTCATAAATAAAAACAATGTGCCATTTTTTCACCCAACACAACTTTTGGCAGTAAAAGGTAAGTTATATTTTTTTCCCTGACTTGCTTAAAATAAAATGATGTTATTATTAGTTACAGAATAAATAAAATAGATCTATTTTTTTTTCCATGTTTTGTTATATAATACCAATCTATATAGTAACAAGTATATACGAAATTCTTACTTTCAAATAAAAACATAAGTTGGCTAAACCTGAAATTCAGTTACCAAAAAGAACAAATAATAAAAAAGACAAGACTTTATTAGTTATGCAAGAATAATGCTCTTAATTGGATAAGAAACAAACCACACAAATTATCATGGAATGAACAAATATAGCATAACAAAGAAAATTTGTTTGACAAATAACTCAATAAACCATTTAATACTAAAAAAATGCTTGCTAATTTTTTTATTTTAAAAATCAAAACAATTAAATCAACAATCTATTATTACTTCGATGCATTTTTTAACTGATTGGAGAAAATTAAAAAATCAACAAAACTTAACACATGACAATGAAATACGGCATCATTTTAAGCACTAATATGAACAGTTCTTTTTTTTTTTCCCGAAACGACAGAAGAACTATTATAAATCAAAAGCGCACAAATGTGCGAAACAAAGATACAGAGCTCCCAACGGGAGAATAAAGTGGGAGGACAGGTCAGAAGACCGCCTAGAATCCCGCTAGCAAAGCTAGAATAAGAGCTCACTACTAAACTAACCAACCAACAAACACAACTAAACACAACTGAAACAACTGAAAAGACCCCAACAGGGTAATACCCGAGTGTCGGATCCCAACATGATAATAAATTTGACACTCGGGCTCTAAATTTGAACAGTTCAAAATCCATTATTCATGCAATTCTTTTACAGCATATTAAAAATATATCAATTTTCTAGACCTACCAAATATAAGTCAGGTCAACAATGTTAATAAAAAGTAACAATTTCCATTAATATATTAAACATATATAGATGCATTATTTTTCTATGTAAACTCCCAAAAATTTTGGCCATTATCTTTATCTAAAAAACACAGCGTACAAACAAAACCTTCTGCAAAGCATTTTTCCATTTTATCTACTTTATTATCGCAAAAAACGCAAGCATATAATCTTGCATTTTATCTACTGTATACATCTAAAGCGCAACATACAAAGCATAGACTTCCACACATAATCCAAACAAAACATGAAGTGATTGAGCAGCGTGTACAACCTATTGGGCAACAAAAGACGCAAGCAAGATACTACTCCAAATGGTATACTAATGGATTTGTATCTTAGGGTTCTTTGAATTTCTATAAGAAATAATTACCTTTTTTTTTCATATGTTGTTTCTTTTCTTCTACATCTGTGCTGCCATTTCCATTCTGTTCTATCTACATAGAATAAAAATAAAATAAAAAAAATAAAAAAATTGTGCTGATTAAAACTATATGACAAACATAAGAACAAGGCAACAAGAAGTAAAGCATATAAGAACAAAAGCTACTGATTGGGTAAAACAACTAGAAACAACAAGTATAAAAACAAATGGATCGGAGAAACAGTACCTCAAAACATTCTACAGTCATCCTACGAGCAAACCAGTAGAGACAAAAAAGAGAGCAACCCTGTTATG